AGTTATGTTCCTCGTGGGAACAGGGCTGTTCCCATTAGAAATTCTCTGTTTACTTAAGAGATTTTCCTTCACTAAGCCATCAACCTCCCTCCTCTGGCAGATCATACACACCAACCAAGAAGAGACAAAGATCCGTTGGACATCTTCAAGAGAAAACTAGATAGTTTTCTTCAAGACGTGCAGGACAAACCGGGCAGTGGTGAATATGTTGGCCTTCGGGCCGCTCCAAGCAACAGACTGTTGACCCAAGCTCTCAGAAGCCAAGCCTGGCCTCGGGCCGGGCTTGGAGAGTAGAAGAACTCCCACAACCCCATCAAGCAGGTATCAAGCAGATAAGGCAGCCTCTTCCCCCTACCTCTCTTCCGAAAACGACTTGAAACGGTCCGTCGAGTTTCTCTCTCTCTCTCTCTCTCTCTCTCTCTCTCTCTCTCTCTCTCTCTCTCTCTCTCTCTCTTTCTCTCTCTCTCTCTCTCTCTCTCTCTCTCTCTCTCTCTCTCTCTCTCTCTCTCTCTCTCTCTCTCTCTCTCTCCTCTCTCTCTCTCTCTCTCTCTCTTTCTCTCTCTCTCTCTCACTCTCGTCTCTCTCTCTCACACATATTCTTATCATCCGTTGCTTTGGATCTGTCTGAGGTGGGAGTCTCTTGCTTGATCTCACGTGTTATGATATCAATTTCCGCGCCTGCCTTTTGTTTCACTCCCATGTACTCGATTCTGACCCTCTTGCATTTCTCTTTCTCCGCAATCTATCGCACTTGTGGTCCCTGTCGTTTTTCCTCCCGTGGCCTCGGGCTTATATGCTTACCTTCTTTGCACCTTTGGTTAAATCACAGAGGCATATTTCTGTGCCTTTCACTGTCGTCATTCTGGGGCAGAGAGATATGCGTCGGCTGGCTGTGGAGCAGGAGGATCTCTTAGGCTACTTTCCATTGACTTCTATGTCCAGTAAGTGTGTTGACAAATTCTCTCCCAGACCCTATAATTCCCCCCCTCTGAAAGTCAGCATTCCACGTACGTGTGTGTGTGTGTGTGTGTGTGTGTGTGTGTGTGTGTGTGTGTGTGTGTGTGTGTGTGTGTGTGTGTGTGTGTGTGTGTGTGTGTACGTGTGTGTATATCTGTTGTGCGTGTATGAGTACGTACGCGCGTCTATGCAAGCGTAAATAAATCGACGAAAGCGCGCGTGTGAGTTTGCGTGCAACAATCGCGCATTTCGCGTGTACCCCCCCCCCCTAAAGACCAACCGAGCGCGTTACGCCCGCCCTTACATCTCAAAACATACACCTACATACGCGAACGTGAATGAGCGATCGTTTCGCGCGCCCTGACCGTGTATATATATATATGTGTGTATACGTGCGCCTTGGCCAGCGCCTCCTCTGCGATGAAGTCAGAGGTCGTTACCCTCCTCCACATCGACTTTCCAAGTGTATGACCAATGTCTACTCCCCTCCCCCCCCCTCCCCCCCTCCGCATGCCTCTGACCCCGTTCATATACCCTTGTGCAGGGGAGGGCAGGAGATACTCGCATGAAGGCCGACGACATCGTTCCTCGCCCATAATAGCCGCGCTGAGAGCCGAGGCAGTAACTACGACGCCCTCTACATTTAGATCAGATACTTTCATCTGTGGGCGATGAAGGGGGGAATGGGGGGGAGGATGGGGGAGGGAGAGAGAGAGGGGGGGGAATGGGTTCGTTGGATAGGTAAGGAGGGTATGGGGGGAGGGGGGGGGTGCTGGGTGTTCTTTAGGTAGAGGGGGGTGCAGGGGGACGGGGGGGGGGAGGAAGGGGGGTGGGGGTGTAAGAAGTAAGGCTTGTATGAAATGAGAGGGCATTAACCCCGCCACAAGACTGTGGGTAGTTAACTACACTGAATCGTCACGCTAACTACACTGAACCTTCCCATTAACTGCACTGAACCTTCACACTGAACTACCACACTGAACCATCACGCTAATCGGAGTAACAACGAACATCTAAACGATACTGACATGAAAACCCCCAAACACACGCACATCTCACAAGGATGTCAAATATGCGTAAATCCGCAAGTACACGAACGGAACACTAATGCACCAGTTCGTATACGCTTAAGACGCTCTGGGGAAACAAACAGATTACAGGGCTATGTATGTTCACCCAAAGGTGTATACGTGGCTTCCCGATGTGGGTATACTCAGAGTATACTTTGGTCCTGTGTTTAGTATACTTGTATGCGGTAAGCAATTGTGGTGACCTTAATAGCCTTCCAGAAGTGGATTGGAATAAAAAAATGCAGTACCCAACCCAAGCTGACGAACTGAACACTGAACGCTGCGATTCGTCTATAATTTAAGAAGATCTGGGAAATCGAGTCGCTCAACCACTTGGACTGGACGGTAGAGCGACGGTATCACTTCTTGCAGGTCTGCGTTCAATCCCCGACTATCCGAGTGGTTGTCCCACCTATCCTATCCTCCGTCCTATCTTAAAGCCTTATCCTCAAATCCTTACCAAGTGCTATATAGTCATAATGGCTTAGTGATGTCCCCTGATAATTACCTTGCCTTACCTCGAGGCCTAACCAATTGCTTGTTCAGTTTGTTCCAGCATGTTCATCACAGCGAGAACACCTTCCACGTGAGAAACTGTTCAGGTGTTCGATGAACAGATTCTCACGTGGTTCACGATTCTTCATCTTCTTTCGGTGTTCTTCACAACTTGACGTGTTCGCTGACGGGCAGACGTGACGAACAAGAGTATCAGCAGCTGCCGTAGCAGTAGCAGAAGTAGCAGTGGCAGTAGTAGAAGTAGCAGTGGCAGTATCAGAAGTAGCAGTGGCAGTATCAGAAGTAGCAGTGGCAGTATCAGAAGTAGCAGTGGCAGTATCAGAAGTAGCAGTGGCAGTATCAGAAGTAGCAGTGGCAGTATCAGAAGTAGCAGTGGCAGTAGTAGAAGTAGCAGTGGCAGTATCAGAAGTAGCAGTGGCAGTATCAGAAGTAGCAGTGACAGTAGCAGAAGTAGCAGTAGAAGGAGTAGCAGTGGCAGTAGCAGAACTAGCAGTAGCAGTAGCATAAGTAGCAGTGGCAGTAGCAGAAGTAGCAGTGGCAGTAGCAGAAGTAGCCGTGTCAGTAGCAAAAGTAGCAGTAGCAGTATCATAAGTAGTAGTGGCAGCAGCAGAAGTAGCAGAGGCAGTAGCAGAAGTAGCAGTAGCAGAAGTAGCAGTAGAAGTAGCAGAAGTAGCAGTAGCAGAAGTAGCAGTGGCAGTAGCAGAAGTAGCAGTGGCAGTAGCAGTGGCAGTAGCAGTGGCAGTAGCAGTGGCAGTAGCAGAAGTAGCAGTGGCAGTAGCAGAGGTAGCAGAAGTAGCAGAAGTAGCAGTAGCAGAAATAGCAGTAGCAGAAGTAGCAGTGACAGTAGCAGAAGTAGCAGTGACAGTATCAGAAGTAGCAGTAGCAGAAGTAGCAATGCCAGTAGCAGAAGTAGCAGTGCCAGTAGTAGAAGTAGTAGTGACAGTAGCAGAAGTAACGGTAGCAGTAGCAGAAGTAGCAGTAGCAGAAGTAACGGTGGCAGTAGCAGAAGTAGCAGTGGCAGTAGCAGAAGTAACGGTGGCAGTAGCAGAAGTAGCAGTGGCAGTAGCAGAAGTAGCAGTGGCAGTAGTAGAAGTAGCAGTGGCAGTAGCAGAAGTAGCAGTAGCAGAAGTAACGGTGGCAGTAGCAGAAGTAGCAGTGACAGTAGTAGAAGTAGCAGTGGCAGTAACAGAAGTAGCAGTGGCAGTAGCAGAAGTAGCAGTGACAGTAGTAGAAGTAGCAGTGGCAGTAACAGAAGTAGCAGTAGCAGAAGTAACGGTGACAGTAGCAGAAGTAATGGTAGCAGTAGCAGACGTAACGGTGGCAGTAGCAGACGTAACGGTGGCAGTAGCAGAAGTAACGGTAGCAGTAGCAGACGTAACGGTAGCAGTAGCAGAAGTAGCGGTGGCAGTAGCAGAAGTAACGGTAGCAGTAGCAGACGTAACGGTAGCAGTAGCAGAAGTAACGGTGGCAGTAGCAGACGTAACGGTGGCAGTAGCAGAAGTAACGGTGGCAGTAGCAGACGTAACGGTGGCAGTAGCAGAAGTAACGGTAGCAGTAGCAGAAGTAGCAGTGGCAGTAGCTGAAGTAACGGTAGCAGTAGCAGAAGTAGCTGTGGCAGTAGCAGACGTAAGGGTGGCAGTAGCAGAAGTGGCAGTGGCAGTAGCAGAAGTAACGGTAGAAGTAGCAGTAGCAGACGTAACGGTGGCAGTAGCAGAAGTAACGGTAGCAGTAGCAGAAGTAACGGTAGAAGTAGCAGAAGTAACGGTAGCAGTAGCAGAAGTAACGGCGGCAGTAGCAGAAGTAACGGTAGCAGTAGCAGACGTAACGGTGGCAGTAGCAGACGTAACGGTGGCAGTAGCAGACGTAACGGTGGCAGTAACAGAAGTAACGGTGGCAGTAGCAGACGTAACGGTGGCAGTAGCAGAAGTAACGGTAGCAGAAGTGGCAGTGGCAGTAGCAGAAGTAGCAGTGGCAGTAGCAGAAGTAACGGTAGCAGTAGCAGAAGTAACGGTAGCAGTAGCAGACGTAACGGTAGCAGTAGCAGACGTAACGGTGGCAGTAGCAGAAGTAACGGTGGCAGTAGCAGAAGTAGCAGTGGCAGTAGCTGAAGTAACGGGGGCAGTAGCAGAAGTAGCAGTGGCAATAGCAGAAGTAACGGTAGCAGTAGCAGAAGTAACGGTAGCAGTAGCAGAAGTAACGGTGGCAGTAGCAGAAGTAACGGTAGCAGTAGCAGAAGTAACGGTGGCAGTAGCAGAAGTGGCAGTGGCAGTAGCAGAAGTAACGGTAGCAGTAGCAGAAGTAACGGTAGCAGTAGCAGAAGTAACGGTAGCAGTAGCAGACGTAACGGTAGCAGTAGCAGACGTAACGGTGGCAGTAGCAGAAGTAACGGTAGAAGTAGCAGAAGTAACGGTGGCAGTAGCAGAAGTGGCAGTGGCAGTAGCAGAAGTAACGGTAGAAGTAGCAGTAGCAGACGTAACGGTGGCAGTAGCAGAAGTAACGGTAGCAGTAGCAGAAGTAGCAGTGGCAGTAGCTGAAGTAACGGGGGCAGTAGCAGAAGTAGCAGTGGCAGTAGCAGTGACAGTAGCAGAAGTAACGGTGGCAGTAGCAGAAGTGGCAGTGGCAGTAGCAGAAGTAACGGTAGAAGTAGCAGTAGCAGACGTAACGGTGGCAGTAGCAGAAGTAACGGTAGCAGTAGCAGAAGTAGCAGTGGCAGTAGCTGAAGTAACGGTAGCAGTAGCAGAAGTAGCAGTGGCAGTAGCTGAAGTAACGGGGGCAGTAGCAGAAGTAGCAGTGGCAGTAGCTGACGTAACGGTGGCAGTAGCAGAAGTAACGGTAGCAGTAGCAGAAGTAGCAGTGGCAGTAGCTGAAGTAACGGTGGCAGTAGCAGAAGCAGCAGTGGCAGTAGCAGAAGTAACAGTGGCAGTAGCAGAAGTAGCAGTGGCAGTAGCAGAAGTAACGGTAGCAGTAGCAGAAGTAGCAGTGGCAGTAGCTGAAGTAACGGGGGCAGTAGCAGAAGTAGCAGTGGCAGTAGCTGAAGTAACGGTAGCAGTAGCAGAAGTAGCAGTGGCAGTAGCAGAAGCAGCAGTGGCAGTAGCAGAAGTAACGGTGGCAGTAGCAGAAGTAGCAGTGGCAGTAGCAGAAGTAGCAGTGGCAGTAGCAGAAGTAACGGTAGCAGTAGCAGAAGTAGCAGTGGCAGTAGCAGAAGTAGCAGTGGCAGTAGCAGAAGTAACGGTAGCAGTAGCAGAAGTAGCAGTGGCAGTAGCAGCAGTGGCAGTAGCAGAAGTAACAGTGGCAGTAGCAGAAGTAGCAGTGGCAGTAGCAGAAGTAATGGTAGAAGTAGCAGTAGCAGTAGCAGTAGCAGTGACAGTAGAAGAAGTAGCAGTGGCAGTAGCAGAAGTAACGGTGGCAGTAGCAGAAGTAGCAGTGGTAGTAGCAGAAGTAACGGTAGCAGTAGCAGTAGCAGAAGTAACGGTAGCAGTAGCAGTGACAGTAGCAGAAGTAGCAGTGGCAGTAGCAGAAGTAACGGTGGCAGTAGCAGAAGTAACGGTGGCAGTAACAGAAGTAACGGTAGCAGTAGCAGAAGTAGCAGTGGCAGTAGCAGAAGTAGCAGTGGCAGTAGCAGAAGTAACGGTAGCAGTAGCATAAGTAACGGTAGCAGTAGCAGTGACAGTAGCAGAAGTAACGGTAGCAGTAGCAGTAACAGTAGCAGAAGTAACGGTGGCAGTAGCAGAAGTAACGGTAGCAGTAGCAGAAGTAGCAGTGGCAGTAGCAGAAGTAGCAGAAGTAGCAGTGGCAGTAGCAGAAGTAACGGTGGCAGTAGCAGAAGTAACGGTAGCAGTAGCAGAAGTAGCAGTGGCAGTAGCAGAAATAGCCGTGGCAGTAGCAAAAGTTGCAATAGAAGAAACAGCAGAAGAGGCAGTAACAGCAGCAGTAGCGACAGTAACAGTAGCAGCAGCAACAGTAACAGTAGCAGCAGCAGCAGTAACAGCAGCAGCAGCAGAAGGAGCAGGAGCAGAAGCAGCAGCAGCGGAAGCGGCAACAGAAGGAGCAATAACAGCAGCAGTAGCGACAGTAACAGTAGCAGCAGCAGCAGTAACAGCAGCAGCAGCAGTAGCAGCAGCAGCAGCAGTAACAGCAGCAGCAGTAGCAGCAGCAGCAGCAATAGCAGCAGCAGAAGGAGCAGAAGCAGCAGCAGCGGAAGCGGCAACAGAAGGAGCAATAACAGCAGCAGCAGTCGCCGCGCAGTAGCAGCAGCAGCAGCAGCACCGGTGCGGTCAACGACCTCCCGCTCTCCACACCTCCAGTCCCCCATAAAACCATTGCCCGAAGGCTCACTTTCTCACCTGTATGACGTAGATAAGCCTTTTCAATCATGGGGTTCTTACATGTGTCCTCCCAAGATGGCCGGGATCCTCTGCAATGGTGTTGGGTAGTATGGACTCCCGGAGGTCGTTGACCCTCCCCCCAACACTCTTGCTGAGTTGGGTTCAGGTAAACTAATTGTGTGTCGCTGGCTAAAGTGTGTCGTGGCAGTCTTCCTCTTGTCAACAGGGATTGTTATTTGTTGTGGTGTACCTCGTCTTCTCAGAGTTTACCGTAGTGGTTAGGGCTTTCACGAAAACGTTACGCTCGGTGCATGTCGTTAAATATGGCGCGAAAATTCGAACGAGGGCGCGGCGCAGGCGCAAACATATGCCCGTAGATTGGATTTGTGTTCGTCGCCGTCCTCATTCTCCTCCTCCTTTAAGCTGCTATGTCATATAAGGCAACTTTCACGATTGATTGACGATTGATAAGCTTGGCGTCTTGCGTTGGAATCACCCTTCAGCATTCTCCTACTGGCTAATTGGCCATATGTGCTACGGTGCAGCGGTTTAGAATACTGATATCCTTCGACCCCTTTCAATGGGAATTTTAGCATGATAATCGTTCAACAACAGATGTCGCTGCAATGTGACACACTAAGCCGTAGAGTGCAGCTCTCGACATTAGAATTGACATAGAACATCTGTTACTCCATGACGAGGGAAGCGTGGCTAATTTTGGACCATATGGCCGAGGCTATAATTAGGTTGCTTTGATAAGGAGAGAGAGAGAGAGAGAGAGAGAGGGGGGGGGCGCCAAGATGAGTACGTAGGGTCTATGGAGTGCCAGAGGCGTGGAGAAGGAGTAGGTCAGTGTGCCGGCAGGGCAGTACCTACCTAAACTCAGACTCACCCCCGGTCAACGACCCCACTTTCACTCTCAGTCTCCACTACACAACACAGTCGCCATGAAGCAGACCTTACCTGGTGTCCAGCTTGGCTCCTGCTCCCTCCCTCCCTCTCTCTCTCCCTCCATCTCTCTCTCTCTCTCTCTGCTACCGCATAAAAATCATGCTACTTCATGAAAACCATACCAACCCATGAGACCTATACTACCCCATGACAACCCCATGAATGACAACCCATGACAACCCATGACAACCCATGATAACCATGACAACCCATAAAATCATACCCTTCCATATCAAACTCTTCATGCCAACACTAATACTAAAATATTCCTGCATAAATATTTCTGCATATGTCCTATTGGTACTGTGCGTGACTACCAGTAAGACATTTGTATGTTTACAGTCATACAAGCAAATAGTATAATATTCTCCTGATGCAACGGTCTAGGCCTAATGTATAGGCCAATTTGTTCTAGTACAATAGTAATACCTTCATCCTAGAATACAACAATTGTCAGTGCCTCATATAAGTTTCACTTATGATACAAGTAACTCATATATCAGTGTCACATATATGATCAGTTCCTCATATATGTGATACACAATATACATGTGTCATTACACATTGGCTCACTCCTTCCTTACCTTGACTGCCTCTTGCTTTGCTCCTCTCCTCTAGAGTCTGTTGGACTCCTGTTTCCAGAGTTCAAAGATAGGCCTCCTCTATAGTAGAAACTCAACTGTCTCAATTCAATTTACCCAGAAGTTGTCTTTAAGTCGAAAACATAAGTTCCCCGATCGATGACAGGCGACCACAATCCCATCGCTTTGGTACAGCTGAAATATGTGGCCGAGTATGTTCTTGGTTCACACACACACACACACACACACACACACACACACACACACACACACACACACACACACCACACACACACACACACACACACACTTGCCACCAGACTAGTACCCGAGCTGAGAGGTATGAACTACGAGGAGAGACTACGGGAATTAAACCTCACTTCGCTGGAAGACAGAAGAGTTAGGGGGGGGGGACATGATCACCACATTCAAGATTCTCAAGGGAATTCATAGGGTAGATAAAGACAGGTTGTTTAACACAAGGGGCACACGCACTAGGGGACACAGGTGGAAACTGAGTGCCCAAATGAGCCACAGAGATATTAGAAAGAACTTTTTTAGTGTCAGAGTGGTTGACAAATGGAATGCATTAGGAAGTGATGTGGTGGAGGCTGACTCCATACACAGTATCAAGTGTAGATATGATAGAGCCCAATAGGCTCAGGAACCTGTACACCTGTTGATTGAGGGTTGAGAGTCGGGACCAAAGAGCCAGAGCTCAACCCCAGCAAACACAACTAGGTGAGTACACACACACACACACACACACACACACACACACACACACACACACACACACACACACACACACACACACACACACACACACACACACGTTTATGGGGAAACGTTTACAATGAATACCAATAGAACAAGAGGCAGGACACGGATGGAAGCTTGAGACTCAGATGTGTCATAGAGATGTTGGAAAGTTTTCTGTTAGCGTGAGGGGAAGTGAGTAAATGTAATGACTTAAAGGAGCATAACGTTGTAGAGGCTAACTCCATTCATAACTTTAAAAGCAGGTCTGATAGGGTAATAGGCCAGGAGTTACTGCATTAGACAACCAACGGCTAGAAAAGCGGGGACCAAGAGCTAGAGCTCGATGCTGCAGGCACAAATAAATGAGAACACACACACACATACATACACACGAACAACCTAACTCTTGACAACCTTATGAGCTTGTTTAATAACCTAAACAGACCAACAACCCCACCATAGTGACTGATAACCCATTAGGACTCAGGATATATCACTATCAAACAATTAATCCAGTTGAACGACCCTACAATCAACTCACCATCAACACAAACAACTCTCACATGCTAACGACCCCCCACACACGGTCGTGTCTACAAGTGGTAGAGGTAGACAGCTTCCGAGGTAGCGCAGACGAGCCCATGCACGCAAACTCAGGCAAACAACAGTTTGCTAGACCAAACACGGCCCTGGCTTGCATGTTGTAGTAATTCACAGTGTTTGGTGCTGAGGCTACAACACTGCCACAGTCTACAACTGCAGCTACAACACTGCCACAGTCTACAACTGCAGCTGCAACACTGCCACAGTAAACAACTGCAGCTACAACACTGCCACAATCAGCAACTGCAGCTACAACACTGCCACAATCAACAACTTCAGCTACAACACTGCCACAATCTACAACTGCAGCTACAACACTGCCACAGTCTACAACTGCAGCTACAACACTGCCACAGTCTACAACTGCAGCTACAACACTGCCACAGTCTACAACTGCAGCTACAACACTGCCACAGTCTACAACTGCAGCTACAACACTGCCACAGTCTACAACTGCAGCTACAACACTGCCACAGTCTACAACTGCAGCTACAACACTGCCACAGTCTACAACTGCAGCTACAACACTGCCACAGTCTACAACTGCAGCTACAACACTGCCACAGTCTACAACTGCAGCTACAACACTGCCACAGTCTACAACTGCAGCTACAACACTGCCACAGTCTACAACTGCAGCTACAACACTGCCACAGTCTACAACTTCAGCTACAACACTGCCACAGTCTACAACTGCAGCTACAACACTTAAATAGTACATCACATGACAGAGCAAAACAATCAAGGTTATATGATTACCAATCATTAATATAACTCTCAAGAGAAGGAATTCTGCCTAAGGAGCCGTACCGTACCGAGTCGCCGGAGCCGCTTGCACAAGCGTCTCTCTATAACCTTTGTTGTTGTTGTCGATTTAAGAGCGACGATAATCTTTGTTTACGAGTCACATAATGATCGCTTAAACTCCGGGACCTGACCCTACCGGACACATTCGTTTTCTTTAAAAGGAAAATGAATGTGGTCAGAAGAGTTAGGTCAGTGAGTCTAGCACAAATTTCTCTCTATTTTACGACTGTTCTTCACATGGGAACTGAAAAATTAATCCTGCAAAGTTAATTTGACAATATTTTTTGGGACCAATGCGTTTCGCTGAAGCTCTGTTCAGCACCTTCGGAGGCGGTGGATATAGAGCGGCTGTGAGTACATTATGTACATCAAGAAGGTGTACATAATGCACACCAAGGTGATGTGAGGAGTTACACAATCGTGGCAGTAGGAGGGGTGGCGTAAGGTCCACGTAAGGTTGGTATAACGTAACCCAATTTTATGCACCCAATTTTTCGCTATATATGTTCTTTTGTTTTGGTCTTTGTTCACAAGTAAAGTTTCCTTGGAGAACGGTCAGCAAGCTGTTGTGGTATCCTTAGGCACCTTCCACGTTACAGAGACCTCAACACTCGCCCAGTATCAAGCAAAACTTTAGTTAATTTTAGAAATTACGAGATAAATTACGATTGTTTTCATATTCTATTTTTTGTATATCCATTGGCAAAAAATAGAAGCTTACAGGGCTATTTACAATGCCAGATTCAGGTCTTTCAAGAAGACAATCTGTACGGAGTTCCTGGTCCACGCACTGGTAGCAGACAACTCCAATGCCCAAAAAGCATGATATTGTAATGGAAGGGCCAGATTCATGAATCAGTTACGCAAGAACTTACGAACCTGTACATCTTTTCTCAATCTTTGGCGGCTTTGTTTCCAATTATTAAACAGTTAATGAGCTCCGAAGCACCAGGAGGCTGTTTATAACAATAACAACAGTTGATTGGGAAGGTTTAATGCTTGTAAACTGTTCAATAAATGTAACCAAAGGCGTCAAAGATTGAGGAAAGATGTACACGTTCATAAGTCAACCCGTCCTCGACTCATGTCCATTCCATCCAGCGGTCGACCCCACAGACGCATTTATATATTTTAACATGCTGTTCATTCAAAACGGGATTTTTCTCAGATATAAATTAATATTATAATATATCAGCATATTGTGCATATATAGGCATAGGTTATGTTAGGTGTTTAGGTTCCGTTGGCGATTATATGTATTTGTAGTACGTGGGTGAAGCATTTATAGCGTTGTGGTTCGAACAAAATTCGTCAGTGAAGCACTTGTTCCGGAAGTGTTCGAACGTCATCAGTTGTGAGTCGTGTGTAAACCGTTTTTCATTCATAAACAGCGGGTTTGGCGGGTGGATAGAATCACTTTTGGGTCTTTGTTTGGAGGACGGGCTGCATAAGTACTTGCGTAACTGCTTCGTGAATCTGGCCCCTGGGTCTTGGAAATAGTGAGCTTTCGTGTTCCGGGTCCGGGGTCGCATCCAGCTGGTGCGTAAAACACCCGTTTTCTTTGATAACAAGAATGTTGTCATCTGGTAAGCTTTTATATTTCAGTTTATACTACACATTGAAAGACATATTTCTTAAAATATATGACACCAGTTTGTTCATGATTTTGATATTAATTCCATTAATCTGGGTGAATTTTGCCTGTTTTACGAGAACTGTATTCGAGCTCTGTTCGACAATAATGAATAATACGTAGCGATTACGAAAGGAAGATTTATCAAGCCAATCATCTATATACACTACGATGTTCCCGAAATTTTCAGTGTAAAATAAAATCGGGCACGTGTTGTCCGTAGAGTTTTGTGCAAAGCACTCTGAATGTCTCCTCACTTACATTCTGAATGACGTTCTAACTTTTGCCAGTGTAG